CTCAGTCAGAAAGACAGATTCTGATGAGCTCTTGACTTCAGGTGGGCTGGGGGGAAGCTGGGGTGGAGACACAGAGGGAGAAGAGGATCCTGGATCTGTGTGGATCTTGCTGCCTCTCTGTGTGTGTGTCTCTCTCTCTTCCTTTCTCTCCATGTCTCTGGAGGGTTGGTTTTCCTTTCTCAGTCCTCCTGGGGGCCAGAGACCCAGGGCCCTTAGGAATTCTCAAGCCCTGGGCACTACCCTAAAGGGATGAGGATTAGGTCCCTCTGCCTGAGAAGGAAGAAGGGAAGGAAAGGAAAGGGATGGGAGGAGGGGAGGAGAGAGGGAGGTTACTGGGAGGGGAAGGGTCACAGGCCTAAATTCCTGGGCTCCTGCAGCTTCAGTCTTTCGGAGAAACAAAGAAACAGAGAAAGTGATTTAGAGACAGACTCAAACAGAAGGAGAGCAAATTATGGAGATGGAAGAGGCTTGAAAAGACATACAAAAGACAGTGAGAGAGAATCCAAAAGAGACGGAGGGCTAGGCTTTGCCTGCAGCAATTCTGATGTTATCTATCTCCAGCTGCCTCTCTCCCCCTCCACAGACCCCACCTCTGCTCCTCCTTCCTTCCAATCCCACAGCCAGACACCCTTCTCTCTCCTTCACCGCCTCCGCCTCCTCTCTAGAGCCCAGAGTGGAGTTAACAGGTTCAGAAGACCTTAAGCAGAGCATTTGGAGGAAGTGGTGGAGGGCTTAGCTTCCAGGGGACAGAGAGAAGGGGACTGACTCAGCTTCTCCCCATTCCTGCTGTCCATTCTGAACTGCTGAGTTCCCTCCAAGTCTAACCACTTAGGGACATAGCTCCGCACTGTGTGTGTGTGTGTGTGTGTGTGTGTGTGTAATCTCCAGGGAGAAAGGTAAGTGTCTCCGCTTGAGCCAGCCCATCTGTGTGTCCACCCATACCTATACCCGAGTGTGAAGGTAGCCTGCATTATCTGGGGGCAGAGTACATATCTGAAAGCTTCCCAAAGGTCACAGCTATGGCGTTCTGCACACAAGGGGTCCCTATCAGCCAGCACTCAACTTGACAGCATTTTACAACATATGGAAGCTTATGTCCAGGTTTGTGAGTGTGTGTGTGTGTGTG